GGCTAAGTTACAGGGTTGAATGTGTCAGAATTCTGAATTCAGAGCTCAGAACTGACACCTGTATAACCCTTCTGCTGAGTACAACTCACACTTAGCTTCTGCTCAAGGGGCCCAGACCACAATTATGTAGTAGGAAATGTATCAGTTCTGCACTCCAGAGAAAAGAAAGGGAAAGTAAGGGAAAGACTCTGCACTTCACTCAGCTCTAATTGGTCTACAGGCCAAAACCTCAGATCAAGTCAGGTAGGAAAACCACAGGAGAAACACAAACTTCAAGTAGGTTCAGGGTTCAAGTTTGAATTTCCTTGGTCATCCTGCAGTTTAAGTCTCTTTATCCACGTATTTCTCTCTTCCTTCTACTTGTGGGAAGAGTTCAAATAAGACAGATCCATCCCCAGTTTTGAGCTGCCAATTGTAACTAAGAGTCCATTTTCAAAATGATTTATTTAAGAGGCTCTAAGAAAAATCCAACCCTCCTCATTTCTCATCTTCTCAAGGAGCAGCATCTACTGCACTCTGCAGCATAATCCTGTGAAGGATAAACCCACTTCCATTTAATTCATTTATCTTCAGCACCAAGATAGAAGCATTGCTGGTCACAAACTTAATAAAATGGCTCATCTAATCCTACCCAGCCAGGGCATTAAAAGAAAATAAATAAAAAGGAAAAAGGGGTTTGTTGTGGTGGACACAGAACTAAGAAGTATCTTGTTAAAGTCTCGGTCTGAGAATTTATGTGGACAAGTAATTGTAGTCCAAAGTAAAGAGGGGAACAGGAAAACAGAATGGTTCAATGAAAACATGAAAAAAATCCATTAGTGAGTTTAAGTTCACCTTTGAAGAAAGGATTTCAGGTCATGATCCTGCAAGGGTCAACACAAGCAAAAATCCAATCTTGAAACAGACTTAATTGAACTGTTTGAATGCTAAGAGAAATCTCTTCACATCCTACTCCTTGGAGGCAACAGAATAATAAGCAATCAATGAAAAATATACAGTAATGGACACCAAAGGTAAGATCCAGTTCTTGAACACAGAATCAAGATTCAAAAGATGAACTGGGCAAGGTTTCAGCAGCCAAAAACAAATTCATAGAGTGTTAAAGGGGTTGGAATGGACCTTAGAGATGATCCAGCCCCAACCCCTGCCCTGGGCAGGGACACCTCCCACCAGAGCAGGTTGCTCAAGGCTCATCCAACCTGGCTGTGAACACTGCCAGGGCTGGGGCAGCCACAGCCTCCCTGGGCAACCTGGGACAGTGTCTCACCACCAGAACAGGGAAAACTTCTTCCTAACATCTAATCTAAATTTCCTCTTTCAATTTCTTCCCATTGCTCCTTGTCCTGTCATTACAGTTCTGAACAAAGCCCCTCTGCAGGCCTTCAGATCTGGAAGGGTATCTCAAGTTGTTTATTTCCTTCTCCGTAAAACACTGTGTCTTTAGATAAATGGTATCTCAAGTTGTTTATTTCCTTCTCTGTAAAGCACTGTGTCTTTAGATAAACACAGGTAGTGTTGGCTATCCAACCCCCTTTGGATGCCATTTTAAGACCCTTCAGAGAAATGGAAAGCTAACCCAGAGGAATTTAAAGCCTCAGCAGATGACAAAGCCCTAGACAAAGCCCCCAAGCCTTAGAGCCTCTGGGAGGGACATACTCATGTTCCCACTAGAGCTGGGAGCAGGGAGAACCACCTTCTTGATGCCAGCTTTCAGGAAGACATCTTGCTCTAGTGCATTCCTTGGATTTTTCTGTTCTCTGTTTCAAAAATGAAAGACTGCCACATTATTCTCTGAAGGCCCCTGACAGGGCTAAAGCAATTTTCTCCATAAATCATTGTAATGCTAACGCTGCAGTTTACAGACTCATCTTTAAAAGAAAGCCTTTACACTTACTGCCACTGCCAGCAGAGAGAAGGCAAGTTAAGCTCTGACAACTGCTCTGTCTGGGGGCATAATAAATGGAAAATTTATTCCTTGGCCCAGTTCTAACAAAACTTAATATACTTGTGAAAACCATGTAAATACTTTGTACTTAAGAGAACTGAGTGCATTAAAAAGCCATTTAGCATACTGAGGTACATGCACCTTCCTATTGCAAGTGTGCTGCAAGTCCCCCTGGTGTGACAGCAAAACTGAGTGACCTGCAATCACACAGCCTTGAACAGGTTTTCCCTGAACATCCTTCTCTCATAATCTGTTGTTCTTGAAGGAAATAAGAGGGGAAAAAAGGACAAAGGGCTGAAATTTTTCTTGTGAGCACATTTCTAAGCAAGGTTAGGGAGATCTCCCTCTCTGGGTTTGTGATCTCACTGTGTGCACCTTTCCAAATAAGACCTTGTGGTGGAAGATGCACATCTTGGGTACCAGGCTTGAACCAGAATATTTATACTTACACAACATATGTAGGATTATGAAGCCAAACCATTCCTGTGTCAATGTGCTCAGGAGAGAACTACTGCAGCTCAGTTTCAGCCTGCCTTTAATTACACTTTTCACCCTGTTACCTTAACCCCAGTTTTATTCCCCTTATAAACATCAAGTTTTGCAGATAGGGAACACTTAAATCTTCATCTTTCACAAACCTAAAGCTATTACATCTTAAAAACCTCTTTAAGCCAGCAGCTCTTTTGGAGTCCAGTATGTGAACTTCATGTGGGGTTAAAGCAATCAAACCAAACCTTTGTGTTCTGTTCATTTGTAACAGCAGTTTGTTTAAACAAAAAAACCCCAACCAAGCTTAATTAAACTCAAGGAAGTTTAGCTTCCAGTCAATTCTACTTAAGTAAACTTAAAATATCCCTTTAAAACACTTCCTAAAAAAATTATTAAGACTCCTCACCTATTAGCCTTGCACTTCCTAAAAAAATTATTAAGACTCCTTACTTATTAGCCTTGTATTTACTCTGCATTTAAATCCATTTGTCTCAATAGCAACAGCTAAGCACCAGGACTTGCTTTTTGTCATTTCATCAGTGCTTCCTACTGCATGCCCAGGAACACCTTTAAAAGTCAGTGCAGTGGACCAAATAAACGATAAAACTTTTCACAGCACTTACAAAGTGAAAATAAGCTTTTTTAAAGTGACCCAAGAATGAATCTGGCCCATATCTTCAGCTGCCATCACCAGGACACACTCCTGAATTAGCTTCAGACTGTCTGAACTTGAATCTTACTTTGGATGAAGAGCAATGGTGCACACAGGAGTGTGTTGGCCAACACATGCTATGTGTAATCAACTCCTGATTAACAAGTTATGACATTATAGGAACTATATGGATAGCCAGAAACTAAGGAGAGTTACAGCAGCAGCACATCCAGCAGTGCTGCTTTACCAGAGCACTTAAGGACACACTCCGACGTGAACAGTTTTGCTCAGCCCACATACACAACCCCTAAACATTTCTTAAATGGTTTGATAAATGACAAGTATGAGCAGGGGAGAACATTGAGTTGGAAACTAAGTTGTTTTCCAGTGAAATGCATTTAACTACCAATTCCAGGACTGGCTTGGGGGGAGGCCCCACAACATCTTCATTTTAACAACAGTAACACACATACTTTTCAAACATATATTTCACCCAAGAATTAGAATGCCTTCAGAAACAGGAGCGTGATTTACTGCCCTTCCAGCATTTTCTAACCAAATCCCACAAAAATGCTGCTCTTGCAGAATGTCAAGGAGAAGAAAGGGCAAAGGAGCAAAATCCAATCCATGCTGAAGTTGGGAGCTGAGGAAGTTTGTCTGTGTTGCAGTGAGATTCCCATCTGCATTTCATTGCAGCTGCTGTGAACCCAATCAGTGCAGGTTAAATATACGTCACATCTCTGATTATTGTGTTCTGACCTTTGTGGCTGTTTTTTTTCCTGCTACATATTGCAGTAGTTCAGGGATCAATGCTGCTTTCAACAAAATGTGTGTTTTATGCTACTCTACTCCTTCACATACTGCCAAATTTCTTGGGGTCTTTCAACAAATATCCAAGCTGCTCTGTCACTGTCCAAACAGCCCCTTCAAAAGGTACTACATCAGGAGCCAGAAAACCCAAGTTCAGTTTATCTTGTCTACATAATGTTTCTTTCAAGACCTCAAGTATGGTCTCTTTGCATCTTCTGTTCCTCCTGTATAAAACAGGGATGATACTACTCTCTCTCAGAAGATGTCTGTGAACACACACATTTAAATTAGTGAAACATGCCTGCAAGAAGCTAATGGGCCCTACACATATGACATGCAGAAAAGTTTTCCCAGTTAATATGTTCCTCTCCTTGCGCTCTCTGAAGCCTGATCCCTAAGGGAGTTGGTTCATGGAACTAAACCAGAAGAATCTAATGCTGTTGGAAGACAGATCAGCATCATTTCTCCAGTTAAGTGTCCAAACTGGTCCATGGGAGGCTCAGATGAGCTTCAGCAGCAGCACACAGGACACACAGCTGAGGATACAGAGTTGTTGGCAAGAACAGAGCTGTCACCTTGGCTTTACCACATCCACCCCCTCACTAGCATTCAGTGCTGTAAACAGCTTCCAACACCCAAGACTTCAAGCAACCACAGTGAAAAACAACTCAGCTCTAATATTTACCATCATGACTGAATCTAGCAACAATATTTAAAACCACAGACTCTTAAAACTACCAACACCAAGCAAGATGGATGTTTCTTCAAGTGCTAGAATCACTACCCACACAGTTACACTTACATGAAGGGGCTGAGCCTACAACAGACTTTATACAACAGCTGCAGATACTCACTGGCACCTCAAAGGTTCTGTATGAATACCAACAGCAACAGGAATAAAAGGTACCACTGTGGTACCTAAGTGCCTTCACAGCTCAGTGATAATCACAAAATTATCACACACGATCACAAAGCTATTTTGGGGAAGCAACTGCAAAGTGTGGCATATGCACAGACCATAACTTGTTTAAAGTGGGTTATTAGCTCAGCCTCAGCAGCCTGTACCCACATGAGATGTGCCAGCAGGACCACAGTGTGTCTTACCTGGATACTATGCTGGAGCCATTGTAGAGGTCACTAGCGTAGGACAGCGTCGCCAGGGGTCGGACTGAATTGTAGCGTGTGAACTTGGATAGACACTCCTGAAACTCATCCAGCTGGCTGGTGGTTCTGCTGTCATCTAGGGAGAGGCAGCAGCATTGGGGAGGGCAGAAAGAGAGGAAGAAGATAAACTCAACAGTGGAAAACCCATCAAGATACATGTCTTGATGTGACGCTACCTCTGCTTGTTATTTGGGGAGGATTCTTGGTCAAAACCAGATTGCCTCTCACCCCCAGCACTCCCTGGAGGCAGTATGATTTTTTCATAGCACAGATGAAGTCTTTCCACTGCAACACTGGGTGAACCTACTGTGCTGAGAATCCGCTTGGAAATCAAATGCAGCTTTCCTGATAAGCTCATTTATTTTATTCACATTCAGAGCCCATGGGCCATATAGATTAGCAACAGAAAACCTTTCAGCACATCAAAATGCACAGCAAAGGAGACATCTAGTTTTCTATAGAGGTGAAAGTATATTCCTCTATTCTGTTACATTATGTCTACATTTGGTGTCAATTACATTCAAAGTGCTTTTAGTGAAAAAATACTTGTCTTGTTATTCCAAAAGCAACAGAGCTAAGGGAGAATCATTTCAGGGCTGGAGGAGGAAGACAAGCATGAAACCAGAAGGCTCCCTGTACTCAAAGTTTTGTGGAAATTATGACCTTCATCAGACAAGGTGAAATTGAGCCAGCTTGAATAATGATGATAAATATTCTGTGGGAAATGGAACAGTTTACTACAAAAGTTAAAAGCAAACGGCTGTGTAGATAGTTGAAAGTCATTCCCTGATTTCTCAGAAGTCCCAACTTTTCTTGGTAGGAACATTATTTTATTTAAGCCATTTTTAAATTTTAGTATTTTGCAAGGAAGGAAAAATTCCTAACTCCTCCTCTCATGTTCCCACCTTCACTTTGGCTTTTGGCACCAGTGCACTGTAAGGGAACTACAACTATCACTGCCCTTACAGCACTACACACAGCACCTTGGCTTACAGGTCCTGCACACCTTGTCTCCTGTCCCACCACAGCATCCACTGCAGCAGCAGAGAAACCACACACACACATACCAGACCAAATTCCACCCACTGGCTAAGTTATCCTTATCAGCTGCACTAGGAAATGACAAGATGCACTTATTAGAAAGGCTTGGAAATGCTGGGGGGGTTGAAAAGGAAGAGGTTGATCCATAAAAGCAAAACCCAGCTGTGATTTCTTGTAGGAAAACACAGAGAGAATAATCACTTTCTGCACCCTGCTAATTCCTTGCCATCAGAAGTTATTATCTCTACACTTGTAAGGCATTTTGAAGTGTCCCTTATATGTTGTTTATCGTCTGATCGTATAAAGGAGCAGTGAAGGGTAATAATCCTTGTAAGGCATTTTGAAGTGTCCCTTACATGTTGTTTATCGTCTGATCATATAAAGGAGCAGTGAAGGGTAATAATTAGCATGTTTAAGGGTACTAGCATATACATTATCCATGTCAGATGGATCAAAAGGGGCAAAATGAACAATGTGCTGCTCCAAACTAAAATCATCAGCACCTGACCACTACAGGAAACAGCACAAACACCAGTCAGTGTTTTTCGAAGACTGTTTCCTCCTCTGTCACCATGATAGGGACAAATAGCTGCTACCCTTCCATTTCCCTCATTTAGAGATCAAGCTCATAGTCCTCCTGTAATTTATTCTCTATCTGTGCCTGGAAAAAACTGAATGTTATTTCTCAAGGCATTTTCCTTGTCAAAGTGCAAGGCCATCTCATAATTACAGTTATGTCTCCACTCCCTACTCGACCAGTCCGAGGCACTTCTTGCAAAAAGCTTTAAATCCACACCCTTCCATTTCCCTCATTTAGAGATCAAGCTCATAGTCCTCCTGTAATTTATTCTCTATCTGTGCCTGGAAAAAACTGAATGTTATTTCTCAAGGCATTTTCCTTGTCAAAGTGCAAGGCCATCTCATAATTACAGTTATGTCTCCACTCCCTACTCGACCAGTCCGAGGCACTTCTTGCAAAAAGCTTTAAATCCACATTAAATTTCAAATGTG